AGTATAAGTGCGCACCTACCAGTTAAGTGCGCACAAACCGTACCGGATCAATTAGCGTATTTAAGCGGGAGTCTACTGTACATGTTTCATTTTAACAGAGAATTTGATTTTTCGCGACTGGTGTGATTGCTCGCCTAAATCATAATTTTCTCTGTGTAAGGTCTACTGCAACTCCCTTGCAATATATATCTTTTTAATTATACTCAGTCATATAAAGTACTGCATAGCGTGAAGCCAGCAGCTCTAAGTGCCTCGGACTTTCCTTTTCAAATACTATCGTCTTCGTAAACCGTTCCTGTATTTGTCATGCTACTTCATTATTGTCCAATACTATGAGTTTAAGATCATAGTTGTGTAAGTTGAACGTACGCACACCGCAATCTGGTAAGTATCCCGCCACAAATGTTGATCCATAACGACATCAAATGTGACCTTCTCACAAGAATGTGATTTCATAAACGTAAGGGTCCATTTCGAGATGTTGTACTTACTATTTACATGCACTACTTCTCGGACCTACATCGAATGCAAGATATCAGCAAAGTGGAGCGAGCTGATACAGCGAGTGACACCAGTTCAACGACCGCAATACTGACCAGAAAAGAGTTACGTTGAAAGTACGTTATTTCGCTGATGTGTATCAAGTATCTCACTTCAAAAAAGTCACATACTGTATTATGTAATAAAAAGTATTACACCAGATTCGTCGCTTTGTAACGCAAAGTTGCATGACGAAGCCAACTGCGCTAGAGAAGCAGCGGTCGCTTTCCAGTACAAGCAGTCGAGATTTCAGTCACACTGTAGTCGACTCGCTTGAATCATTACAGATATCCAAAGATTACGTGGCTCGTGCACAACAATTTGCCAATGCGCGTGTGCACGAGACGCTCCAAAAGTACCACAGCAATCGCGAAGCTGCGTTGCTCACTTCAGGGGTCTATCCAGGCGTCGATCGTACGCAGTGGAAGCTTTCTAAAGGTGGAAAACGTCATCATGCCATTTCTTGTTACAAGAAAGTGTCATCCAGGACTCAATTTCGTGGTTTGAAGATATCTCACAGGTCCAAGCAGGATCAGAGCGCAGTTGACAGCATGCGGATGACCATGACAGCCAATGAAAGCGCATCATCCGTGACGTTATCCGAACAAACTGAGCTTTTAGCCATTGGACATGTACCCGGAACCCTTGAGGATGTACTACATGGTACCGTCAATCTCACGCCTGAGGCAATGCAAATCGAGAGCTCGCATGCTCAACGTGACTTACTCGACAGTCGCGTACTAAGTGTACTCGTTTTTCCTTCGGTTACTTCGCCGTTCCGATCGCTTACGCTTAAATGGGCACTGCGTCATCATGAAGTGCTTTCGAGACATCGAGATTATGTTTATTTGGAGGCTACAGGAGTATTACAAGATGCGCACGATGAAAGTGCTAAGGTAGGCTACCATCTTGTTCACTCAGTGTCGTTGCCATCTGCCCCGGAACTTGCACCAGATATGCAGATTGTGCGTGGCCACTTGTCATATTGTTACCTCTACCGACAACACAGTCCTAGCGAAGTTGAACTCTTTTTTTATGGTGGAATGCTGCCTCGAGGTGGCGCAAAGGACCGTCTTGCCTTCCAAATAATGGCGAATACCGTACAAATGTCGCCAAGCTCGATTGATTGTGCAATGATGAAAAAATTAGCTTATTCATTGCGGACCAAGGATCTAGCTGCTCTTCGTGAGTCTTCACAATCTCTGTACTGCAAAGATGACGATAACCGGATGACGCAGAGGACACACTCCAGCATCCTGGGTAGCAGCATGTTTCGTGCTTCATCAGTGATGATGGATAGCAACCGTAGCAGTGTTATATCTGGCCGTATTATCGAAGCGTCTTCGTGCCACATTTGTGAGCGCCCGGTTCGAGTGATTTTTGGTGGAAAGTTGGCCATTTGCGAGCTTTGCGAGGAACCAGTGTGTCATCGTTGTAAAGTCAACAAGAAGATTTTTGTGTTTAAGAGCGGAGTATTCCACCCACAAAAAATGATCTTTTGTGTAAAATGTATGGTGGCAATGAATCATTTAAATGCTGGATGGGTGGCCTCGCAGGAACTTACAAGCGCGGCTTTTCAATTGCGTCTTAGTAAGCAGACCAGGTCGTCCGAGAATGAGTATGGGTCTAGCTTCCGGATTGGTTTAGGGTCCTCACGGCTCGATAATACAGACAAAGATCGCGACACCATGTCTTCAGACGTTTTGATGAGGCAGTCGACGTCTCACTCTGTTGTTTGGCTTCCATCTGATCACTTGCTTTCAAACTCAACATCCATTGAGCCAGTGCATGTCCATATGGAAGAGGAATATATCCAATTACAAGATGACAGTTCTATTGATACGGAAGCATTTGTATGGTTAGACGGTGACGATGACTGCTTTGACGAAGTTATCCCGATGATTGAAATTCCATCCGAGGGTGAGGACGATGAATATGGGAGTGATAATAAACTGTTGAAACATGCCGTCGACTTTGTGTATGTTTCTGAGAGCTCGTAAGAAAATTCTATGTCGACTACAAACGAACGTACTCATACATTCTTTTAAGAGAGTATGCAAACAACTCGTGGTCTTGGTCATTGATGAAATAGAATATTGCTGTGTATTCGGTGGTGTCAAGGTAGAGAATACGGTTGACAACTCAAGACAATTTTTCTCAAGACTCTAAGCTGAACAAATACAAGTACAGTTGGATGTGCTTGCGCCGTGAAATAGTTTTTTGGGCCTGTAAGAAATCAGGCTGATGATAATTAATGCACCACCTGTGCTTCGAGTGCACGTCGCCCTCTATAGCAGCCAGAGTGTAAGTCAAGACATGGAAACACTAAGTACACGATTGCTGTGCGCAATCAAGGCTGAAACGGGCTCATTATAACGAGTGAAATGCTCAACAACGACGTAACTGCATAGCAAGGAGACATATTATAAAGGCTTAGGCAAGTTGAAATTTAATTCACGGATAAACGTTTTGAAATGTCCTGTACACATGTTCAGATAAGTTCATCTACAATTTGTTAGAATGATAACGCAAGAAGTACATTAGAATTCGCTTCTTTGTTCTCCTACTACTTCATTTTCTTTTCAGTGGCTCTGGATCTTCGTGAGCAGTAGAGTTAAACTCAATTGTGCATTAAAATAAGTGCGTCACAATCACCTCCAAGGTGTCCTGTCAGAAATTGATTCTGGACAGCAAAAAAGTATGAAAATCGTCCATCTCATTACCAACTTTAGCTTTGCCTCATTAACTGTTTGCTAAGACGTGTGATGTCCTACGATCAGCAATTTGCCAGGTTTTCTTTCATGTCGATTACATCGAATATTTATATGTGATGCATCTTGTCTACTGACGTTATTTGATCTCCTGGCGTTAGATTTGCTTCAAGCAGTGCATTGCACTATAAAAAGCGTCATCCAACTATATTGAGTCACATTGTGCTGTATTAGTGTAAATTCTCGTCATCGTGATTGGGAAACTCGCGACTTTCGAACTCCGGCTCTATGCATATGTCAATTCAAAGTATGTTTGTAATATTTCGATATCATACTAAGTAATATAATTTTGGCCATCAATTTGTCAGTCGCAACATGAGTCGTGGTGATACGGATAAGGCACGCGGAGGCTCGAAGTTGCGAGCTACCCGCATGCGTCACCAGCGCAATTTGGAAGAAGACGATTTGAATCAGCGCTTTAGTCGGTTCAACTTGTCGTTAGCGGCCCCGGTATTCGTGCCGGCTGCCCAGCCGCCGGTCTCAACTCCCAAACGGTCCATGGCTTTTGTGACGAAGCGACGTGATAAGTCATCGATTTTAATGTCTACTGCCTCTTCTCGGGACCAAAGACGAAAAGCTACAGCTGCCATCTCTTCAAAAATGCACAAGAATAATGAAACGTTGGGCGCGAAGAGCCGACAGCAGCAGGCAATGACGACAGGAATCCGATCTGTACCTCGAGGTAATGCTTCCACCAAGCCTCGACGACAACGTGTAGGTACTAAAGGGCTTAACAAGAATGATCAGTCTGTGAAGAGCGCGGTCGTATCGATGCATGAGCGTCATCGTCGTAAACTTTCGCTCACGTCAACTGAGCTGCAAGCACAAGATATGGAACGAAAGGCAGCAGCAATTGCTTCGACTCAGCAAAACATGGAAGACGTTTATCCCGAGAAAGAATCAAGTGCTTTTCCTCAGCAACTCACACTTTTCAGTCAGCAAAAGCGTATGCCGCAGCGCGTAGCAAGTCGTGACGATGTCATCAATACGATCTTTGCAGCGCTATTTACACGTAACACAGAGCGGCGTAAACGTCCACAGCAGGCTCTTAGCGCCTTTGGAGACGATACTGGAACCGACACGGACGAACCAAATGAAGACTTTGTCAAGCGAGGGCTTGCCATGGCATTATTTAAAGATCAACTTGATCTACAAATGCCGACGTCACTACAAACTGCATCGACACCATCAGTGGCTGCTGATCATCTTATTACTCCAGTGTTTATACATGCTTTAGTAACTGCGCTGCGCTTTGAAGACTTTCGTACTGCCAGCGCGCGACTAGACATTTTACGTGCTATTCACAAAAGTTTTTCCACCAAGAGATTGCAACTCGCGCGAGCCCTTGCTGATTCCACAGCCTTACGTTTAGAATACGTGAATGCCATTGCGTTTCATGCGCAGAAACTTGGCGTCGAGAAATCGTCAACGCAAGTGATAAAAGAAAATATACACGATCATGGACACGGCTTTACAGAGCTATTGCGTTTCTTGATCGAGCATGTCGAAGAGAGCTTGGTGAACACAACATCTTCAGAAGGTATAGACGAAATCGAAGTAAGGCTGCAAAAAGAATTTGTGCGCAATTGTCTTGCCACTCTTGTGACGCTGTGGCGTGCGCATTGGATCGACCCGGCCGGTTCTGATGACGAAGAGCTCATTAGCTGTGCTGGTCAGTTCGTAGCGTACAAACCGTCAGCAACTGGCCCACTTTTGAATCGGTTGTTAAGCGCATGGCCAACCCGTTTTCCCAAGCAAGAAGTGGGTGCGATTCGCATGGTGGCTCGCGTGATTATGTCTGGACCCCCACTTCATCAAGTGGACCCATCGCAAGCACTGCAGCGCCGTGTTTTCACACGATTGGCTCGCACTTTGCAGAGTCCAAATGTCGATGTAGCAAAAGAAGCATTGGCATTTACCGGGTGCCAGTTTGTGCTGATACACTTTGTTGGACGAGATGAAGTAATTTTTAAAGTCGTCACAACGGCATTGCATGCAAATATTGAGAATCATTGGCATGATGGCGTACAGAGCACGTCTGAGTCAAACTTTGACAGTGCACTAGACTTTGCTCAATTGAGTAGAGAATCAAAATAGATAGCTAGTTGATTAAATCGTAGGAAATGTTCGAATCTTGAAAATGTAATGTGAATCTTAGATACTATCGCTCGCTTCATGTTTACCAGAACAACCACTAAAATCAAAGCCACAGGCCATGGCGATGATAAGATAGATAACAAATAGCCCAAATATGACAAGCATAAGCCAAAGCTTCAAGTTGCGTCTCCACATGGTCTTGTACAGGTTTGTGGACGAACGCTCAAATTTTACTGACTGGCGATTGAGTTTGTCCGTGCGGTCCACAAGCAGTTCAAACTTTTCACCCCGTTCCAGTACCTTGTCAATATTCTCCACCATAATATCTTTTACGTCGTCAATCTGCTGCTTGACCTTCGAAAGAGAATCCGCGTCGGGATTAGCGTTATAGTAGTCAAGCAGGCGGTGGATCTCATGCTGAAATTGGTCATTCATAGCAAATGCGATAGCTGTAAGCGCATGCTGGCCGTATGTGGCTTGAAAACGATTTTTCATGTCTTCTAAGAAAAGAAAAGGAACGCGCCGCTTGAGATCGTCATCCGCCATGCACAAATACGTCACACCGCCTTCCACAATGTAGTGGAAAATATGGCGATCGTACACATAAGACATGCGTCCAGCCGTGTTTGGGATTTTAGCTAGAAGCACTCGTGTGACAGTTGGAAAGTTACCAGAGGTAGCCGTATACTCGGCCAGTACCGTCTTCTCGCGCGACACTAGCGCGTACACAATAGGCATGACAGTGGGGTTGGGGAATCAATACGAAGAAGTTATGTTTATGAACTCACAGAATTAAAGAATAAATGTAGTTGTATGACATTTTGTCATATAATCAGACTTGAAACTGAACTAAATAGTCGTGCCATCTTTACATATGGCATGAGGTCAATGAGTCGAATCTATCAGTCAAGGTACGGTGAATATACGCCTTCCGACCCTCATACTGCTGCACGAAGATAGGGACGTCAAGAGCCAATGTCAAACAGCGCTCCCAAGTATCTTGTGTAACTATACCAGGACGGCGCGAGCTTGGGTACAGGAATTATTTTCCGCTTCTTTGTCTTGGCTGCTTAAAGCAGACTTTCCCGAAGGTGCAGACTTAGTGCATTGCAGTCCGTGCGGCGGGACTGCTGTAGCTAAGCTCTTGAGGAAGCGTACTTTAGGTCACCGACCTTTCGTTCTTTACAAGAACCAAGTATGAGTTAGCGGATCGCTATCCGCTTACTCCAAGAGTAATTATTGCCTTCTCAAGGCTAATTGACTCCTCAGTTTAAATTCGAAACTAATTTTTATTTACTTTCTTGTCCTAATTTTAAATGTTTAGATTTTCCGTAATATACTAAATATATATAGTAAAAATCTAAATACATGCATAATTACTGGCTACCTAGCCTCCGTACCGTATTCTTGTTTGGGCGTGGTCACACCATGCACATCTCGTGTGACACACACCCCTGTTATCAGGGATCGAGTAACCCGATACAGTCCGCGTCTATCGTTTCCACGATTTATTTTTTTGTAAAGTGAAGACATGTATGCAAATCCTCGTGCCGTTCAAAATTAGACCAGGCGTCTTGACGAGGCCAAACGCTTCAGATTTGTTCGAGAGGATGGAGTATTCAGTCGGCAAAAGGCCTTCCATGCGGAGGTAGCGAGAGAGTATGGTAGTGATAGATCCATTTGTAATTTCCTGACTGCAGTATAGAATTACATCTTGAGCAACTTCATGATGAGAGAAAAGCCTTTCGGATTGGGAAATCACAAACTCAGCATCGCAATACAATCTTAACGACTTTATTAGAGGTGGCTGAAAGCTCTGTATTGAGCTGTCGCCCTCATTGTTGCTTGTCAAAGCGAAACGAATCGCGGAAACGATGGCTGATTGCGGAAACTTTCTAGGCAGTTGGTGCTGGCACCGAAACTGTAATTCATTTTTAAGGCGAATGCGGTCATGTCGATAAAACAACCCTCAGACTTTAGATGCACTGGCAAACTTATAGAGATTATTGAGAAATGTAACCCAGGTAGTGTCTGTAACATGAATGAACCAGGTTTATTTCTGCGTTTTCTGCTTTGCTATTCTGATTTGATGCCCTCTAAAGAATTCAATACTACTTAAGGCAAGAAAAAGTCAAGAGAGAAAACGCTCATTACTTGTTGCAATGCAATCAGAATTGAGTCAATTTCTGTTGCGATGATCGGGTACGCCAACGCGCCAGCTTGCATGTCTGGACTGTAACGGGGTTACACGCATCCTGGTATGAAGGTGTGGATTACACAAGTTTATGTAATCACACAATGATGTGGCTAACAAGAAGCCACTACGTGGCAGGACTGCCAGTAGTTGTTAGGTTTTACTATTTAATTAGGAAAAGTAAAGGTTTTGGATATAGGCGGCTCTGCCGCAAATAAAACAGATAAATTGAACAAAAGAGCGTCTTTGCCGTAGCTAAGTTTTAAGTACTCTGGTGGTAGCGAATTGCGATGCGCTACACTCGCACTGGTTCTAATATAGAACTTATGGTCGGTGACCTTACCTTACGGAAATAGCTTCGGCAGTCCGCTGCATGGACGGCAACGACCATTACTTTGATGTAGACCAATAAATCAAAAAGTATGTATGACCATTCGCCCACCTCCTCACCGCTGAACGGGCTGGAAGGAGATTATAGTTTTTGATATTGCACCTGGACATTACTTGCCTTCTGAGAAAGATAATATATATTATTTTTCTATCAAATATTTCATCGTGAAATTAGCCAATGAACATGGAATTAACGTTGCAGAGGAGAAGCTCTAAAAGTTTATGTTGATGAAAGACATTGTCTTCTATCATTGTCCAATAGTGAAAGAAAGGGCTTCTCACGACCAAAGTGTTCATCGACTGGAACATCAAGAGCCTCATTTATCAGTCGAATCAAGGATTATCATTGTCGAGGGCAACGACACGCGGAGTAACGAAAGCGTCTAAGCTATATTTCAACAAATCGTTGAGTATGTGGTTTTGACTGATGTGAGCACGAACGCGCGACAAAGCCTGTCAAGTTCTGACTCGGAGGGGACCAGTTTAGCAATCTGATCAATCATGACAAAGTGATAAGTGATCACTTACCGCAGCCGCATAAACCATTCCAGCGCATCAAGACATACTTGCACCAAAAGTCCGGTTGTAAAGGATCATCAGTCGGACGTCAAGATAGCGCTTTAGCGAAATGTTGTAAATCGTAATATATACACACATTTGTGCGTAGAATCATACTTTGGGGCGAATGTTGCGGCTCACAGCATAGCGTGGTCCGTGTAAATTGCAATTGTTACTCGCCAAGCAGGTGCAATCAAAACTGGATTAGTCATGCCAAGATATTCCGTATCAGCAATCCTTTGCTGCCTTCAACTGCTGAGATCGATAGATGATACAACGCTCGTCCCCTGGGCGTCGTATCGTATCAGCGCACAGCCGATCGCAAAAATTACTGGCATCACAAGCGATATATACAAATCGGAGCCTGCAGGAGATTAATTCGTAGAAGAATATGAAGTTTCGCCGTAACCATCATTAGAATTTCCGACGGTACATCAATTTATTGTAGCACTAGGTGGATTTTGACAATTTCCGCGCCCAGTCATGCTTCTCATTCGTAGGAAGTGACCAAGCACATGTGATGAAGTTCAATCTGGGTCAGATCGAGAAGCAATACAACAATGAAATTGCTGCGCACCTTTCGCAGAAGAATTCGTGGCCAAACCGGTTCATGTTAACAAACGCGCCGATATTATGTTTGCACGCTTTAATCCGAGAAAGAATTGATAGTCTCTACAAGAAAAAAATCTCAGGATTTTTCACACTTTAGAAAGTGAAATATACATATGACTTACTTTAGACAAAACTTATCCACAAACGTTCAATTATATTTTGTCATAGATCTGTCTCATCACTCTAAGAAAGGCCAGCTGCATAAATATACCCGTTCTTTAAAAAGCCCCATTAACTTCGAAAACACCGATACTTTGGTACTTACGATTACTCATTATTATACAAAAATATATGTTCTTACAGTTGTTCAAAGTTGTATTCTGCACACTTCTACAGAAGTGTAAACTGTATGTACACAATAGTACGGTACATACTATGTTATACACTGTCCCACCAAGATTCGGATCACACTGGGGCCAATCTTCTTCGGCTATTTTTGACGTTGCGCAATAGTGAGCATTCAGCGAGCAACCACTGCACTTAAAGGTTGAACAGTCTTTGCACTCTACTGTGTCTGCACCTCGGATCATTTTGCATTGAGAGTCTTCTCCTGCGCACATCATCACATTACTCAGCAAGCCACCAAAAGAGTCCTCGCAACTGACGCCTCTAAAATCGTGCAGAAATCTGATGTGTTTTTCAATACGAACGGTCGGTAAGACTTTTCAAGTTCTGACAAACACCTCCATACTCACCTGGAGACATATGTTCGAACCTTTTACGAAGAGGGGGCGCTGGTTGTGCTCCATGTCTCATCTGCATTTACATGCCAATTTTCAACGGCATGTAGTGCTGCGATATACTGTCGTCGTGCTCGCAATGATGTTCAGCTCGTCGCCAACGAACTGGGACTAGATCTGAGGGCCCAGCATTATTTGTCTGCAAGTGCAAGAGCCACGTCGACTTTGGTCATTTTCTTACGCTGTGAGTACCTTGCACTCTTACGCGTGCTGGGAGCTACGGGAAGCAATCTACCATCATAAGTGGATGACAAACCCCTCACAGGAAAAGCTCAAGTCCCAGTAGGTGCAGGGCGGGCTACCGTACAAAATTTGGGCTCAATTGTAATTCATAAGTGTTGTGTGGTACCGAGAGTGTACCTTGGGCGAGCCTTCAACTACCTCTGCGAGCTGTTGTCTTCTATTTCAGAGCCGATGGTAAGTCGATGCGACTGGGTGTCACAATTTCTTGTGTCGGGGGGGGCTGAAGGGCAACTGTGTTTCTCGAGTATTAGGGGACAGGCTTTTAAGATAAAAAGAATGCCGTGTCCTTGTCACGATGTGACGGTACTGCTGAGTCAGCACGACTGTATGACAGGTTCAGCATGCGAGGCAATGTAGCTCTGCGGGAGGTGGCGAGAAATATCATTCAATTGTAAACAGAGTGGTCGGGCGACACCAGCCGCTTAGATTATTTCCACGTTGCAAATTTACATTCTTCCGATGTGTTACACCTAAGGTTACATTCTCGCCAGCGAGCTTCTAGCTTGATGATTTTAAAAGTGACGCGCTGTACATCCGTTAGAGGAAGGCCTTAACCATGGCGAGCTTTATGAACAACGGGGAGCTCATTCCTGCCATATTCTATGCGTCGCTAACTCGAATCGACAAAAAAAATCAAACGCACCATTTAATGCACCAGTCTCATCGATGCAGTCTTCCTTATTGAAAGGATAGTCGGGGGGTTGTTAGTCCTTTCTTACAGACTCTTGAAGAACCTTAAATAAAATTGGAAACAAATCGTAACTTGGATATATGGGCAAAAAATTGCAAAACAATGTGGTCCTCAAAATCGAATGGCTGAGACCAGGGAAGGAGCTGAGCTCGTCGTCCGTCATGAATAAATTCGTTATTGAGGACATTCGTTTAGCGCTGAGTGCGAGGAGTGGGATAGCTATCTTCAAGGATTTTACGGGCCTTTAAACCATTTGTTGGAGGAGTATGCCGATATGGCGACGAGAAGTTCAAGCCGCATTGTATTTCAG